CTTGGATATTAACCCCCTTTTGGATATATTATTTGCAAATATCTTCTCCCATTCAGTAGGCAGCCTTTTCATTTTACTTTTTATTTTCCTTTGCTGTGCAAAGCTTTTTAGTTAGATGTAGTCCCATTTGTTTGTTGTTGCTTTTGTTTCCCTTGCCTGAGGAGACAGATCCAAAAACATATTACTAAGACGGATGTCAAAGAGTTTACTGCTTATGTTTGTTCTAGAAGTTTTATGATTTCAGGGCTTAGATTTAAGTCTTTAATCCATTTTGAATTTATTTTTGTATATGGTGTGAGAAACTAGTCCAGTTTGATTCTTCTGCATGGAGCTGTCCAGTTTTCCCAAAACCATTTATTGAAGAAGCTGTCTTTTCCCTATTGGATATTCTTGTCTCCTTTGTGTAGATTAATTGCCCATGTAAGTGTGGGTTCATTTTGGGGCTCTCTATTCTGTTTAGGCTAACTTTTTCTTCTTGGGTGAGTTTTGGTGGTTTTTGTGTCTTTCCAGGAATTGAAAGACTATTTCACCTAAAGTGTCAAATGGATGGGCATATAGAGTTGTTCACAGGATCTACAGCCACCTACATATTAAATAGACATCTAATAATGGCTATTTAATATCTGTAGGATCAGTAGTAATGTCTTCTCTTTTACTGGTGATATTAGTAGTTTGTGTCTTCTCCCTTTTTCCCTTGGAAAATATATTTAAAAAATTTTTTACATAATATTTTTTGTTTTTGGCTGCACTGCATGGCATGTGGGATCTTAGTTCCCTGAACCAGGGATGGACCTGTACCCCCTGCATTGGAAGCATGGAGTCTTAACCACTGGACCACCAGGGAAGTCCAGGAAAATATTTTTTAGATGTTTATTAATTGGTCTTTTCAAAGAATCAGGTTTGGGGTTCATGTTGTTTTTTCTGTTTTTAATTCCATGATTTCTACTCTCATTTTTATCATTTTTCAATCTTCTTGCTAGCTTTTGGGTTTATTTTTGCTCTTCTTTTTCTAGTTTCTTAAGGTTGATGAAAAAATAGATTTTTTGAGAACTTTCTTCTTTTCTGATATAAGCGTTTAATTCTTGCTATGGTCTGAATGCGGTGCTCCCCCCAGTTCGTATGTTGCTTTATTGTGGTACATTTGTTGCAGTTGATGAGCCAATACTGATACATTATTATTTAATTAAAGACCACAGTTTACCTGAGGGTTCCCTCTTGGTGTTGTCTAGCCTATGGATATTGACAAGTGTATAGTGAAATGTATCCACCATTATAACATCAGCCAGAATAGTTTCACTGCCCTAAAAATACTCTGTGCTCCACTTACTCATCCATCTCCCCAAAGCCTGGAACCATTGATCTTTTACTGTCCCCATGGTTTTGCCTTTATTAGAATGTCGGAGTTGGAATCATACAGTACGTAGCCTTTTCAGATGGTGTCTTTTACTTAGCAGTATGCATTTAAGGTTCCTCCATGTCTTTTCATGGCTTCATAGCTCATTTCTTTTCTGTTTATTTATTTATTTTTAATTTTTATTATTGTCTGCGTTGGGTCTTCGGTGCTGTGCACAGGCTTTCTCTGGTTGCAGCGAGCGGGGGCTACTCTTTGTTGCGGTGTGCGGGCTTCTCGTTGTGGTGGCTTCTCTTGTTACAGAGCACGGGCTCTAGACGTGCGGGCTTCAGTAGTTGTGGCACACAGGTTCAGTAGCTGTGGCACGCAGGCTCAGTAGTTGTGGCACGCAGGCTCAGTAGTTGTGGATCACGGGTTTAGTTGCTCCACGGCATGTGGGATCTTCCCGGGCCAGGGCTTGAACTCGTGTCCCCTGTATTGGCAGGTGGATTCTTAACCACTGTGCTACCAGGGAAACCCCTCATTTCTTTTCAATGTTGAATAATATTCCATTGACTGGATGTACCACAGTTTATCCATTTGCCTACTGAAGGACATCTTGGTTGCTTGCAAATTTTGGAGATCATGAATAAAGCTATTATAAATATTCATGTGCAGATTTTTGTATGGAGCTAAATAATATATTTTTAAATAAAGGGATGAGAAAGGAGGGCCTTCTAAGAATGATAGAAGCCATAAAGAAAATGTTTGTTAAAATTTCCAGACTGAGCAAAAAACTTATTGTAGCTAACTTAGATGAACAGCAGGGGGTAGTATCTGCAAGACATTTGACACCAATTGACAGTTCTCTTTTACTGAGCATATTGTCAATTTAAATTAGAGACACAAGTCTCAAACTTTCTTGACTCTTTTATTTTGTTTTATTTTATTACCTCCATGCCTATGGCAGAAGAAAGAAGTATCAGTGATCTCCTTTGGATCTGTCCAAGAAACCTTATGAGTATTTAGACTTGTTAGGAATTACTAGATTTCAATTTACATCTCACAATGAGGAAAAACATTATTATTATTATTATTTAGTTATTTTGCGGTACGCGGGCCTCTCACTGCCGCGGCATCTCCCATTGCTGAGCACAGGCTCCGGACGCGCAGGCTCAGCGGCCATGGCTCACAGGCCCAGCCACTCCGCGGCACGTGGGATCCTCTTGGACCGGGGCATGAACCCGTATCCCCTGCATTGGCAGGTGGACTCTCAACCACTGTGCCACCAGGGAAGCCCTATTTTTTAAAATAAATTTATTATTTATTTATTTTTTGGCTGTGTTGGGTCTTCGTTGCTGTGTGCAGACTTTCTCTAGTTGTGGTGAGAGGGGGCTACTCTTCATTGCAGTGCATGGGCTTCTCATTGTGGTGGCTTCTCTTGTTGCGGAGCACAGGCTCTAGGGTGTATGACCTTCAGTAGTTGTGGCGCATGGGCTCAGCCGTTGTGGCTCACGGACTGTAGAGCGCAGGCTCAGTAGTTGTGGCGCACGGGCTTTGTTGCTCCACGGTATGTGGGATCTTCCTGGACCGGGGCTTGAACTGTCCCCTGCACTGGCACGCAGATTCTTAACCCCTGGGAAGTCACCAGGGAAGTCCCAGGAAACATTATTAAATAAGACAACCATAATTCTACAAGCTTTGAGAGACCAATGGTTATTTTCACAGGGCAGAGCTACAGTTTTCGAGGACTGGATATCTCACAGACTCTGTTGCAGGAATAATATTTGCTGTTTTCCTCTGTAGCTGTAGGGGCAAAGGAACAATTTCCCTCCTTTTATTTGCTGGTATTTCTTTCACCAACCATTAGAAGCACTTATGGTTTGAAGAGCCATCACTAGAATTCCAAGAGCTAACACTGAAGGAAAAAGAGGAGTCCTGAATAGTCACAAAACTCTAAATAAAGAAAGGAAAGGGGCGAAAAGGAGTGTTAACCAGTGTTATATAGAGTAGGTAGTATTTTGCTTTCTTGAGTAATAAATAAAGGCCTTTCTTGAATCAACAAGAAAAATACATATAATTTAACAGAAGAAATCAGCTAAGTATATGAAGAGGCTGTTTAGAGGAAAAAGCATACAACTGTCCCCAGTAGAAAGCAGCTCATCTCACCCTATGTAGTAGCTGAGGAAATTCCTGAAGACAGAACTAAGATGATTTGTTTCAGTGATTAATTTGCATTTTTTCTAATGCACAGAAAGTAGCCGGTCAGGATCCATAGTCTCTATGGTGTGGGGTCATGAGTATTAGCCTCAGTAGCTTAAGACAAGTAAAAGGACAGGTTTACCTCAACCGTGAAAAACTCACGTGGCAGGTGTGGATTTGATATGGTTGAGCAATGTCTTGTGTACCAGGTATTTACAAAATATGTGCTGAGATGACTGAATAGGTTGACTTCGTGCATAGAAGTATTCACGATAAACCAGTTGAGAGTTGATAAATGTCTAGCACAAAGAGGTATTTTTGTTTTAGAGGAGTTGATCTTTTAACCTTCTTTCCCCTACCCACCCCCACCCCCAACTAAAATGAGATATCAGAGGGATTTCTAGCTAGCAAAGACAAAAAATGTCTTCTGTATGTTAAAAGCATGCCTTTCTGTCCTCTACAGCAGGAGGGCATGTGTCTACCTCATTCAGTGTAATAGCTATTATTGTTTGAAAAGTTAAAATGACAGTATCAATATGGGAGAATATTTTGTAAGTCAGGCATGGCTTTCATTGCAAATGTGAAATGTGGGTGTTATCTGCATTATAAATGCCCTCCCCTCTAAGCAAAGAACCAAGAGTTACTTGCAGCTCAATGTCCTGATTATAGCTGTTTCTCAACTTATAGTTCTGAACCCAAATGTGCAAGTAATGGTTCAAACCCTGCCCCCTTCACTCTAAGGATGTCTCCAGAGAGGTGCTTCAGCCCCTGCAACCCAGGGGCCCCAGCAGGGCCTTTGCACAGAAGCAGAGGAAGAACATTAACCAGGGCAGTGGGAGGCGCCATGGCACCCCTATCCACTTAAGTGCCTGTCACTTTGCCCAAATCGCACTATGGGTGGGGTCGGATGTGTCCCTGGCTTCTGTGGAAATGCAAGTCCACCTAGGTGAAGAAACCTACCAAACTTTGTTTCCTCCTCAGGTCAAAGCATGGGTGACTTGAGAGCAGGGCATTTGACAGAGAAACAAGAAGGGGGGCCAGAGCCATAGAAGGTCTGAAGCAAGATGCCTGCCTTGAGTTCAGCCTTCACTGCCATCTGGAATTACATATAAGAAGCTATCTTTATGCAGGAGACATAAATGGTGGGCGTGGGGAGATACGAGTTGGTCCAGTGTGGGCCAGTGAAGGGCGGTGGATGCTTGGTTTGGGATGCAACTGTGCCCCAGATGTTCATTGGCTTCCCCGAGCCTCCAGACTAACTCAGGTAGAGACCTTGTTCTGCACAAAAGCCCTACAGAGATGCGGTGGGGAGAAGGAAATGGAACTGTTATTAAAAAGAAAACAAAACCAAGCCAAACCAAAAAGAAAACCCTCTTCCTCTGGCGTCTCCGAGGGCTTTTGAGTCACTCTCTGAGGACAGCTTGGTGAGGAAACTCACACATTGTCCTTTTCCTGCCCCGGGGTACACGGCCTTTCTCTCTCTCTCTCTCTCTGGCAGGTAGAATTGGTTGCCAGGTTTTTTCACTTGTCACTCCTCTTATGTTTTTGTGAAGAGACTAGAAGCCAATGAGAGAGGCCGCCTGGGAGAGGAGGGAAGATTGCAGCAAGATTGTCTGAGAACTTGCAGAACTTTCCAGAACATACCAGGTAACAGGGCTTGTTCGTCTCTCTACCTCTCTCTTTCCCCTTCCCTCCCTCTCCTTCTCCCTCTCTGTGCAGTTCTCCCAGTAACAATCTGTGTCAATCTGCACACTTGATCTTTCTAAGCCTGAGTTTCATTATTCCTAAATTATCAGGGTCAGGAATTACATACCCTAAAGCCCCAAATAACTGCAAACAGAAAATATTACTAGCACTATATTTTTCAGAACCTAAAATTTTGAACAGAATGAGCTCAGAGAGTAGCCCTTTGGTGATACTAGCTTGCTTATTTGTCGCGTTTGTGCAAAAGTGTATTCACATAGGCACCCACATCTGGGTGCACCTATAGAGTTCTCTGCATGTTGCTGGGTGAGGGAGGACGGTCTGACCCTCCTCTCTGCAACCTGCTCCCAGAAGTCACAGGATGCCCTTTGAAGAACTGGCTGAAAACTGGCCTTGCGATTTTAACCTGACTTGATGTCTGTTGCTTGTCTCTGTGGTACACACCACTCAACTCGAAGGCAAGTCTCTGTTTTCAAGAGGGAAAAAGATTTCAGGAACAGGACAAGGTGATCCGCTTGGGTAAAACACGTGCTTTATTTCTGAGAAAGACATACAATTTATTGTTTTGAAAAATGATCTAACCTGCTCACTGAGCAGGATGGAGTTACGAGGGCGTTATCCCTGGAGGATTACCCTGCCTGGCACCCTTTGACAGCGACGGTGTCTCACCATGGCATCTTGTTTATGATTCCTAATTGGCGTGTCACCTTCTCCAACCCTCTCCCGTGGGGCCGGTAGGGAGGAGATCCTGAATACTTTTGGCAAATGAGAGTGAGATAATCTGCCTGGGTTTTGGCCCATTTCAGGCCAGTTTCAGCCCATTTCACAAGTTTGCCAAGGGTGCCTCTACCTTTCCTGTCCCCACGTGCTCCTTTCAGCCCTGCCCAGTGGAGACGTCGCAGGAAGTGGGGCTTCCCAAGGGTGGTACAAGGAATCACGTTCTTTCCCTGTCTTTGGAAGGAGCTGTTCTCTAAACTGGTCCAACCGTCCTCCAAGTGTAGGGAGAAAAGTGTCTAGCAAAGCCAGGTATTTACTAACATTTTCAATGAGTGGATGGAAGGATGATGGCTCTGCAGTGAGGTTGATGGCCAGGAGGAAGCACGATGATGGTGATGTCGGGAGGGGACTAATGTGGCGACAAGGGCACGGGGATCTGCAGGGGACAGAGCAGGGGAGGGTGTGCAGCTGGGACCCGGTGGCAGCCTTCTGGCCAGAGGTGTGGCCGTTTGGACTAGAGAGGGAAAAAAAATCCTCACAAAATAATTGAGAAAGATGGTTCTTGAGAAGGGGCCCCTTTTTTCACTTCTCTTTCTGCTCAGGCTAGACTCAGAGAGAGCAGGAATTTAAGCCTCTCATTCTTGTTCCAAGATGGCTGGCTACCAGTCGCTTGGCCATACACATCACGTGAGTAGCGCTGCTTGACCCGTTCCCGAGGGTCTGAGGGGCAGCCAGAGGGGAACATCCCTCCCAGCACACAGGGCAGGCAGCACACTCTGGTCCTGCCTGCACTCCCAATTGGCCGGGAGACACCGTGAAGGGGTTGCCATCTCTCTCGGATATCCCTTCAACCCACAGTCCTGGGTGCAGGTGGCTTCACATTGCTGCTGTATTCCTCATATATAAAAGACGTGGACAGTGTTACCTGATTTCTCTGAGTCCAGGCATATCAGCTCCAGCCCCCCTCCAGCTCCCCTTTCTGCAGCTCTTTCAGCATCACCTTCTCTGCCCCTTAACATTCATCCAATCACTTACCTGGTACCAGCCTGGTGTCCTCAGATGCTTGGGAGCCCCTCCTTGCTGGTCCTCTCTGGAGACCACCATTCAAGATGATCCAAGGGCAGTACATGAGAAAACAGCGCACCTTGGTTTCAAGATCATCAGCACAGAAAATAAGCTGATATCTAAGAAACACCGGTGTCCCCATTTGCCTCCCCTATGCAATCACATCTTTTAAAAAGTCCTCCCTGTAGACTTCGTGCTTGAAAAGATCCAGCCAAAGGTGAGAATTATTTTCAGGTTTGCTCCTTCTCCAAATTTCAACAGAGAGAATTAGCTGGATCGATGTATCAGTTTTCTCCAGAAAAAACAGAACCAATAGGATATATGTATGAAGAAATCTATTTGAAGGATTGGCTCACGCAATTATGGGGGCTACTAGGTCCAAAACTGGCAGGCTAGAAACTCAGGCAGGAGCTGATGTTGAAGCCTTGAGGCCGAATTCTCTTTTGGCTTGAAAATACCATTAGAACGAATTACAAGATATTACCGGGAAACTGTCTGATAGAAGCTGAATTTTGACATTCAAATTAAAATAATTCCCAAGTTATTTATTTATTAAATTATTTTTCCTTCAAGGGTAATCACAGTGGCCAGTTTCAGAGGTGGAGGGGCTAGATAACATCCTATATGGTGTGATTCCAAGGAGCGTGGAGGAAATCTACTTATTCCAAAAAGTAGTTTTTTTCGGTTCACCTGTCCTAGATGCCGAAATTCCACAATTAGAGATTCATTCTTTAGCATTAACTCCTTGAGCCTTAGAAAATACTCTAAAACTTGGCACACAGTGAGGTCCTGATGCAGTTTTGGGAAGGGTCGTGAAGTTCTTTCCCAATAGTGAAGCTTGAGTAGTCATCCTTGGGTGGGGCCTGAGTGGCCCCACTCGCTGAGCACAGGAAGTAGGAAGTAGGAAGAAAGACAAAGATCAAGAAAAAGGCATATGGGGTACAATGAAAGAAGGGGAGTGGACTGGAGAGAGATGCCCCTGAGGTAGCTACTGGTCAGAGACTATTTGAGCTGAGAATATGGAAGCATAGATCTTTGGTAACATAAGAGCTGGTCTGAGCCTAACAGATCAGGTCTTCCCTCTGTTTACCGGACGTATGCTCCACCCCACTGCCCACCTGGGGTCTTGACAATCTCCTACTCCTGGCATGACCAACTCGTCCTGGTTTGCCTGGGGCTCTCCCAGTTTCAACACTGAAGTTCCTTTGATCAGGGGATCCTCTCAGTCCTGGGCAAACTGGGATGATTCGTGACCCTCTCTACCACCATCACCATGGAAACTTAGGGAAGAACGTCTTTTGTGAGTTTACCCAAGGCGAAACTTTGCGAGGCAATCTTGAGTTTGGGTGCCAGGACTGAGATCCTGAAGACAGAGAGCCAGGAAGCCAGGATATGACCAACTTCCTTAGTTGGTCTTCTGGGTGGACAGCACGTTTTCAGTGCATCCTGTTAGTAGCTAAATCCAGGTGGTGGGAAACCACGTGCGGTGCTCTTGTGTTGGGACTGTCTATATACTCTTTGTGAGGAAGTTCAGTCTAGTGCCAAGAATGGCTGAGGGTCAGCAGCCCTGGGTTTTAGTCTCGGCTCATCCATTAAAGTATGTGTGACCTTCAGTAGTTGTTTTTTTCTCCCTTCAATCTCCTCATCTATAAAATGTGGTGTTTTGTGTCGGATGTCACATCCGACTCGAATATGAACAGTCTCTGCCTGTTTTCCGTCTAGAACAAAATGGAGGGGCTTCAGAAGGGTGGAGAAGACACGTGCATCAAAGGTAAGATCTGGTGGAGCCCTGCACAACACCTGGGGACCATGAACTCAGCATTGGGTCAGCAAACTTCCCACCTGTAGGGAAAGGTACAAGACTAGAGTCACCTCAGCACAAAGAACATGCATATCCCCCAAGAAATAGAGCTTATTAGGCTATCTGCTGTCATGCTCTCCTTAGTGAGGGTAAGTTCTTTCAGATAAAACCCTGCCATCTTGTAAAACAGAGACCAGGCAGGGATGGGAGGAGATGAAAGTATGCGACTAACAATTAATTTAATGGTTGTAGGAAGCTCTGAGCATCAGAAGGCCTTCAGGGTGGGAACTGAATAGGGAGAATGTTCTGGAAAGGGTGGAAAAATTCAGCATCCCAAAAGGAGCAATCCTAATGACTTTGGCCAGCTGGGATGATTTATTCCACCAACCCTGCAAGACTTCCCTTTATTCTCTATGTAACAATATTTACTCTGAGCCCAGCCCTGTTCTGGGAAAAGAGAGTGTGATAGCCTAATTGATCCAGGGACGCTATTTCTTCTAGGTCTTTTCCTTTTTATCTTTCCTTCTCTTCCTCCTAAAAAGGCATTTATTACTCTTTTTGTCAGTTCAGGCTGCTAAAACAAACACCACAGACTGGGTGGTAATCAACAAATGTTAATTTCTCACTGATCTGGAGGCTGGGAGGTCCAAGGTCGAGGTGTGGTAGATCTGGTGTCTGGGGAGAACACTCTTCCCGGTTGCTGTGTCCTCATCTGGTGGAAAGAGAGTTCTAGTCTCTTTCTTTTCTTAGAAGGACGCTAATTCCATCATGGAGTTCCACCCTCACGCCCTCATCTAGACCTCAGCACTTCCCAAAGACCCAACTTCCAGATACCATCACATTGACGATTAGGGTTTCAGCATATGATTTTGGGGGGGACACATTCAGTCCATGGCAATGGCACATTACCTTTCTGTGTGCTCTGACAGGCGGAGGAGAAGAGAGCTTAAATCCAGGAGCATTTTGGTTGAGGATCATCCTGGTGGGCAAAACAGGCAGCGGGAAGAGTGCCAC